TCCCACCTTAGCCTCCTCAAATACTGGGATGACAGGTTATGAGCCAACATGCCCAGCCTCTTCTCTGAATTCTCACAGCATCCTTAAAGTGAGTCTAAACTCAGACTTCAGAGATCTGGCCAGTTTGTGTCAGGGTTGGGTCTACAACCCAGGACTGTTCTCTTCTTACCAGACCCTGCCTCAGTTCTGGGACGAGGTGGTCAAATATATAGCACGAAGTGAAAACCAGATCTGGAGGGTGAAGGAGGCAAATTCAAAGATGCCTGAAGTTTTGAAACTGAGTGGCTTACAAAATATGGGGAGGCCACATTAAAGGAAAGGTAATGAGTTTCAGATTAAACCTGCCGAGTTGAAAATGATGGCAGAACATCAAATCTATTGGGCCTGGATAGATCAAGATTCTTGGAATGATAAAGGCCAAAATCTCTGCAAAAGGCAGGAATGTGTAGAATGATAGGTTTTAATTTTGTCGATGTAGAAGTTTAAAGCTTGATTCAGTGGTCTAGGTGGTGAGGAGCGTTGGCAGATGTGCCGAAGCCCGTAAGAGTGATGGGGAGGCAGTTCCAATGACTCTGCTTCCTCAGTAGCAACTGTGGCCTTTTCATTTGCAGCAAGCCTTTCCCAGACAATCCCACCCTATAGGTCAGGTCAAAGGTCAGCAAACTACAGCCTGCGGGTCAGTTCTGGCTCACTGCCTGTTTTTGGTCAACGCTGAGAGCTAAAAATGTTGTTTATTTTTAAGTGGCTGAAAAAATAATATTCCATGATGTGAAATTTAAATGAAATTCAAGTTTCAGTGTCCATGAAATTTCACTGGAATGCAGTCACATTCATTTATATGTTGTGTATGGTTTCTTCACATTACAATAGCAGCGTTGAATAGTTGCAACAGAGACCATGTGGCCTGCAAAGCTTGAGATATTTACCATGGGGCTTAAAAATTTTGTTGATCTTTGTCTTAGGTGTTTAAAATTTAGGCATCTGAAGATGGCTTCTGATCCTTAGCATTCCCATCTGTCCATCCATTCATCTATGTACCCAGCTAGCCAGACATCTAATATTTATCAAGTGGGTACTATGTGAAGTTTAAAGAATTGCAAAACCAAATCTCAGCCCTCGGTACCAGTGTTATATAGTAGAAAGAATGTGGCATTCAGCTGGAGAAGTGTAGGTTGAGTATCCCTTATCCCAAATGCTTGGGACCAGAGGTGTTTCAGATTTCAGATGTTTTTGGATTTTGTATTATCTGTATTATACTTACCAGTTGAATATCCCAAATCTGAAAAATGAAAGTCTGAAATGCACCAGTGAGCATTTCCTTTTGAGCATCATGCTGGTGCTCTGTAAGTTTTGGATTTTAAAGCATTTTGGATATCGGCTTTTTGGATCAGGAATACTCAACCTATACTTTGCTGGGTGGTCACGCATACGTTTTTAGTTTCCTTAGGTTCCTTCTCAGAGCCCTTTTCCTCAGGGACCCGCCTGGGGTTGGAAGAGGGATTAGTCTTTGATACAAGAGTAGACTGAAATGGCAGCTGTCAATTCAGGGATTCTAGTTAAGTGGAAAAGGAAGGTTGCTAAGATTGGGAACCAGACTGAGTTGGAGGGCTGCGGCTTTTGCCTGGCTGGTCAGGGCTCGTTTCTCCAGCTAGGCCAGACACTTCTATCTTCTTCCATTTAAAAAACAACAACAACAGCTAGTCTAGGCGTGGTGGCTAGACCAGTAACCCCAGTGTGTTGGGAGGCTGGGGCCAGAGGATCACTTAGAATTTGAGACTAGCCTGGGCAACATAATGAGACCCTTTATCTACAAAAAATAATCAGGATTGGTGGTACACACCTATAGTCCCAACTACTCAGGAGGCTGAGGCAGAAGGATCTCTTGAACATAGGAGTTTGAAGTTATAGTGGGCCATGATCACCCCACTGCACTTCAGCGTGGGTGACAGTAAGACTCTGTCTCTAGGGGAAAAAAAAATCATAAAAACTAAGAATGTTATGACTACATTGCTATGACTATCAACTAGTTTGAACTCATGTTTTTTCTGATTTGAAAAAAATTAGCAGCCATGAAGCAGGATGAGTTCATGTCCTTTGCAGGGACATGGATGAAGTGGGAAACCATCATTCTCAGCAAACTAACACAGGAATAGAAAACCGAACACCACATGTTCTCATTCATAAGTGGGAGTTGAACAATGAGAACAAATGGACACAGGGTGGGGAACATCACACACTGGGGCCTGCCGGCTGTGGGGGAGGATAGGGGAGAGGTAACACTAGGAGAAATACCAAATGTAGATGACGGTTTGATGGGTGCAGCAAACCACCATGGCACATGTATACCTATGTAACAAACCTGCATGTTCTGCACATGTATCCCAGAACTTGAAGTATAAAAAAAATTAAAATTAACATGTCTGTGGTCTCCTAAGAGTACTGTGTGCCATAGGCATTCTGCCTACTATGCTTAACTGGATAAGTCTGCCTGTCTGGGAACTATAAAATGCAGTCTTCTGGTGGAGAGGGACCCCCTGCCAGCTCAGAAACATGGTTTCTGTGCCTGGGAGCTTGGCATAAACACCTCCCATGAAGTCCTGAGTTAACAGTTTCCAGATCTGTGAACTGCATTAATGTCTCCTGCTTTTAGTTAAGTACCAATATGTGGCCAAAAAAAATCTTTGGTAATAGAAGTCATTGATGGAATTTAGATTTCTCATCAATAAAGATGATTCTAGGTATATATTACAATATGTATTGCATGTTCATATATTTTGGATGCATCACTACTGGAGTAGCACCATAATATACTTTGGATCTAAGTTTCTAATAGTTTCACATATGAAAGACAACTCGGTTCCGAACCAAGTACGACCCATGTAGACACTAACCTTGTCCCCACTTTGTATATATAATTTTGGTATGTACTTTGAAGAGCAGAAATCTGAGTCCATTTTTTTAAATTCCCCATAGAAAATGCTATCTTTTTACTGGGGGGAAACAAAGAATGGGGAGAGTATTTTTGATATCATTTTTTTATTCAAAGCAGTGGCCCTATTTTGACTGCAATACACTGAGATGGGATCTTCTAACACTCTGCATCCTGATTTGCCGACACTCCAAAACTCTGAAACACACAAGTATCTGTGCGCTGCAGCGAGGGCTGTTGCTGCACAACCCCCGGCCCACTCTGCCTCAGCCTTGACTGTTTACCAGCAGGGAGTGCATTTGCCAAGCCCCTTGCTCCCCTGCTAATCTCCCACATCCCCACTTTGTTTCTGATTGATTTCTTGGAAAAGCTATTTCAGGATGTGAACAGTTAAGGAAATATGGGGTCAATGTGGGACAGTATTTTGGCTTCCTCCAAATGTATACCAGGCTTCAGGGAAATAGATCCCTATTACACTGTTAGCAGGAGTACAAATTATAGCCATGGATTTGAAATACCATTTAGAAATGGCGTTATAAGCCTTAAAAGTGAGTAAGTGCTTCTTTTGACCACAGTAATTCTACCTTTTTTTTTTTTTTTTTTTTTGAGATGGAGTCCTACTCTGTCACCAGTCTGGAGTGCAGTGGCACAATCCCGGCTCACTGTAACCTCCACCTCCCAGGTTCAAGTGATTCCCCTGTCTCAGCCTCCTGAGTAGCTGGGACTACAGGCATGTGCCATCATGCCAGGCTAATTTTTTATATTTTAGTAAAGACGGGGTTTCACCATGTTGGCCAGGCTGGTTTTGAACTCCTGACCTCGTGATCCGCCCACCTCGGCCTCCCAGAGTGCTGGGATTACAGGCGTGAGCCACCACACCTGGCAATTCTACTTTCAAGAACATGTCTCGGGCTGGGCGCAATGGCTCACGCCTGTAATCCCAGCACTTTGGGAGGCTGAGGTGGGTGGATCATGAGGTCAAGAGATCAAGACCATCCTGGCCAACATGGTAAAACCCTGTCTCTACTAAAAATACAAAAATTAGCCAGGCATGGTGGCACATGCCTGTAGTCCCAGCTATTGGGGAGGCTGAGGCAGGAGAATTGAACCCAGGAGGTGGGGATTGCAGTGAGCCTAGATGTACCACTGCACTCCAGCCTGGCAACAGAGCGAGATTCTGTCTTAAAAAAAAAAATCTTGGACACATGTAAATAGTTTTGTTTGGGGTTGGTGACAGTGAAAATTCAGAAATAGTCTGTATGACTAATAGAATACTGATTAAATAAATGATATTTCCATAGTAAAATACCATATAGCCATTAAGATAATGTGATAGATATCTAAATACATAGAAAATATGAAAAATAGTGAAAAGTAGAAAAAGATTTCTGTAAACTAGTACATACAGCATTATCTCAAATTCATTTTAAAATTTAATATATGTATATTTATGCATAGAAAAATATGTAGTACAATATTAATGGTTATTATCACTGGCTGGTGAGATTATGGGTTATTTCATCTTTCCTTTGTGTATTTCCAACTTTCTTTATTTTCTACAATGTACATTGATGCTTTTGTAATCAGAGAAATACAAATGTTTTACTTTAAAATGCAGCATCTGCACAGAAGTGGAAAGCTGCACAGAAGTGGAAAGCAGCTAGGTCTTCGTCCCAAGCCAGAGAGGAGATAGTTGTGGTGAAACACGGTACCTTCCCACCATCTTCAGCATGGTATTTCTGTTAGGAACACTTTCAGCTATGAGTAACAGAAAGGTCAACAGTTGAATAGACTGTAGCAACATTATTTACCCATCAGGTCTGGAAGAAGGCAACTTCAGGATTGCCTAGAGATTCTACTGTTACCAATTTCCATCTTTCTACTCTGCCATCCTTAGTGTTGGATTTTCATCCACATGTTCCCACATGGTCTCAAAATGGCTGCACTCTCACGTTCACATTCAAGGCAAGAGGAAGGAGGAGGGGGCTGCACTAGAATGTCTGGAAAGCAAGCCTTTCTGGGGCAAAGGAGAGGGTGCTTGGGTATAGCTATTGTATAAGCCAATCAGAAATGTTGGCCACAGGTGAACAGGCACTATTCTGTTGAGAATTAACATAGGCTGATTATTATTTTCCTAATTCCAGCTTTGTTAGTCTTGTAGTTAGTAAAAAAGTTTTTCCATGATGTTGGCAGAGTTGTTAGTTTTAATGTGAGGTTTTCTTTGCCTTTAGGGGAGTTGGGAGTGAATACATCAGAGTGTGCTAGGCAGAAGACATTTGAAATGGAGTTACTTGAGTTTTCAAACATTCACATCCTTTATCTCATATGAGAATATAAGGTAAGTATATATGCTTAATAGGCAAGTATAAAGCTATTCTGCAAACTTTACATATGATGAAATTGAGAACAAGAGACTATTAATAAATGATAAAGATGACAGGTGATCACAAGTCAATATATTCGTGATACCCAAAGATAATTAGCAATGAGCTAGGCACAGCACAGCAGTCCTTATTACTTGTTCTAGGTCAGATACGTCACTATTGAGTTTGTTTCCACAACCTAGTCTAACAGTAAAAGAGCATTTCAGAAATAAAAGATACAGTATCCAGAACACATTTTGGGAATATAAGAGCTTCTTTGATTTCACTGTGGATGCAATCATCTCGACCCCTCCCTTTCTCTGATGTGAATATTCCCTTAAGTAATTTAGCCTTATTTCCCTTTCTGTAAAATGGGGATTATTTTGTATACTGTTTGTCTTGCTGAGTTATTTGAATTAATTTGTTAATGTGCATAAAATGCTTTTTGAGTTGAAAAGTGCTAGGCATTACTATTCGTTCTTCTGATGGTGTATTTAGTGTATATTGGTTAAACCTCTAAAACAAAACACTGATAAAAGGTTGAAATTCTCTCTGCAATAGGTATCACTTAGCTGATGATGTTGCTAGCTAATGGCCATGAGTCTATTTTAGTGTTCGCTCAAGTGAAGTGAATCCAGAAAATAAAAATTAAATGCATTTCACTTAGAAGTGTACAAATTCAGTGATAGAGTTTATCTGACCTGCAGGTTTTGAATATTCAAGCAGCAAGATTTTACATTGTGTCAATATCACCACTGCTTTATTATTTAATTCATTCTAGCTTTATAATTCTGCCTACTGCTTTCCCATTATTTCCTACTGATAACTATTGAATGAATTATTCTTCATATGTGTTGGAACATTTATGAACTGCCTCTCTGCACAACCTAAACCCCTTTCTCATGCCTAACCTTATATACTGCAATGAAATTTTTCCCAGTAGTTTCGTGTGTATACATTTCCTCCCTAACTACCAGAGGAGAAGCTACCTCCTTTACACTCATTGTGAATTGGAATGAAACTTATTAATGCAATCAACAAAATATAACCTTCTGTGTTTACATAAACAGACAAAAAACATATTACACAAACATTACTTAATATTTTCAAAGCATTTTTTAATCTATTCATTTGATTTTCACTGGGATGGTATTATTCCTATTTAAAAATCTGCACTGTATATGTATACACAACTTTTTCTTTGCCAAAGGGAAAAAAATTCTGTAATTATGATTTATAAGGTCTTTAGAGAAACATGAAATATTTTCATATCACTTTCATTTTTTACCCATGCTCAAAATAACAAGATAGGAATATTTAAGAGAATGCAGGCCAGAGAAGCTAAAGGATATGCCTAAAGTTACATGCTATTTGGTAAACAGAATGAGACCAAAACTTCAGGGAAGTCATTCTACATTGGTAGATATATCTGAAGTGGACATTCTTCTTCAGTGGCAAAGAAGCCTAGAGGAACCGAATGGTCTTTAAAAAACACTTTTTCAAGCGCAGGAAATCATCCTATCAGCGATCATTAAGCAGCCCCCAAGCCAAGCACAATCTCTTTATAAAAATAACCAAGGCCTACTCTCTACCCTTCAGTGATTTTGTGACTTGTAGGTGAGACACACATTTTCATAAGTTCGTGCGAATCAATGGAGACTGTCCTTTGGGAAATCTGATAAAACTACATTTCACTGTGCTTGTTCAGCCTATGGGAGTGGGGATGGAAGCAGGAAGCACAAAGGAGTAAGACGACCTTTATGAAGAGTAAATCATATCAATGAATAGAAATAAAAAGACGATACCAATAACTTTATGTAAAACTCATCAGCACTTATTTCACTAGATTGTAATTGTCTGTCATTACCACCAAACACTGAGCTCCTCATTGCCTTAAACCATTTTGTAGCAGAGACTGCTAGTTGGACACTGAAATTCATTCTCTCATTCCTCAGCACCACAAACCTGACTTTTGGCTGGATAAGTGGCACCAGAATTAAGTCTATGTCTCCCAGCCTTCCTTGCAGCTAGGTATGTGACTAAGTTCTGGCAAACAGGATATAAGCAGAATTGTTGAGAGTTCTGAGAAAAAATCCTTCAATCTTTCATCCTGTAGCCTGGGATACAGGTGGCAGCTGATGTTTCACCAGCAGTTTTGGACCACAAGATAACCTTGAGGGTGAAAACCAAAATGGGACATAAATGACATTGAGTTTGATGATTCTTTGGAATCATCCTGAGCCAACTTCATTCTTAATTTGTGCAACAGAATAAACCTGAATGTGTTTAAGCCACGTAGTTAAGTTTCTGTCGATAGTGGCAGAAACAAAGCCGCACCAATACACATCACATCTGTGTATTCCCAACAGAGAGAATGGTACCTACACTGATGGTTGCTCAAAATATTTGCACTTTAAATTTAATTACTTAAACCTACCTTATTTTGAGAAGAATTAAATACAAGGTGCTAAATTGCTGTAACAGTTGAAATTACACTAACTTACCAGGGAAGAGCACAAAGACAAGCCAGGAAAACAAATGCAAGAATGGAAAGTCAGTCCTCAAGATATAAAACCTTAGACTTAACACAGAGAAATGTAAAGGCAACATCACTCCTTTGCTAAGAAAGAAAACCTGGTAACATGATTTAAAAAGTATCTTAAGACATAGAAAACAAAATAAAAAATTGGAAGTAAATAATTGGCTTTACATATGAGTTGCTAATACATTAAAGGACAAAAATCAGACTTAAAATGATGGTTCAGAATTGATCTATATCAAAGCAGGGAAGGATTAAGTAATGTATAAAGGAATAAGGTTTAATTGACTCACAGTTTAGCATGGCTACGGAGGCCTCAGGAAACTTATAATCATAGCAGAAGGTGAAGGGGAAGAAAACCACCCTCTCCACAAGGCAGTAGGAAGGAGAACTACCCCGGAAAGGGGGAGGAGCTCCTTATAAAACCATCAGGTCTCGTGAGAACTCGCTCACCATTATGAGAACAGCCTGGGGGAAACGGTCACCCATGATTCAATTACCTCCACCTGGTCTCTCCCTTGACAGGTGGGAATTATGAGAATTATGGGGATTACAAGTCAAGATGAGATTTGGGTGGGAACACAAAGCCTCAGGGAATCTTGTGCAAAATAGGTGCTGGTAACTATGATTTATTCAACAATCACTGACAGCAATTTTTCTGTGCCAGGCACTGCTCTAAACACTTATAAATTTAACTCACTGAATCCACATTATAGCCTTATGAGGCAGTTATTGTTTTTATGTCCATTTTTTAGATGGAAAACTGAAGCCCAGAGAAATCCCATTACTTGCCCATGATCATATAGTAGGTGGGGGTGCAGGATTTTACCCAAAGACCAATATTTTTAAGATGAAAAGTGTTGGGCATTATTATTAGTTCTTTTAAATTATACTTTAGAGTAGAGACGACTGATGGGCAGACCAGCTTCTTGGCTCCTTTAAATCTACTTCACGTTTTGAAATGATGGAGAAAGAGGGAGAATCTGGAAAGGGCCCAGAAACTGATTAAAAGAAAAGTCATAGGATGAAAAAATGGATCCCTGAGGAAAAGGCAAAGTTGCTATGTTTTAGAGAAGAGAAGATACCAGTGAATTTCAACCTCCAGTGATAGTGTGGTCAGAGGAAGGACAGAACTACTTGATTGTGATAGCTATAAAGGAAGGTGTTGGAATCTGTGATCCTGATGTTTCTTAAAATGAGGATAGATGGTGTAAAATATATCTGTAGCAATATGGATGGAACTGGAGTTCATTATGTGAAGTGAATAAGCTAAGCATAGGAAGACAAAAATTGCATGTTCTCACTCATATGAGAGCAAATAAAGTGGAGTTCATAAAGGTAGAGTAGATTGGTGGTTATCAAAGTCTGGGAAGGGCAGAGAGAAAAGGGTATGAAGAGACTGATTAATGAGTACAAATATACAGTTAGACTCAGTGTTTGATAGATCGGTAGGGTGACTCTGGTGTACATTTCAAAATAGCTGTTACATTGGTGCAAAAGTAATTGCACCATTTGCCATGACTTTTAATGTGATATTAAAATCACATTATATTAACTTTTCAGGTAATGGCAAAATGATGTGATAAAAGTAATGACCAATCTAATAGAGAATAATTCGAATGTTCCTAGGAGAAACATAAATGTTTAAGTTAATGGATATTTCAATTACTCTGATTTGATCTTTACATGTTATATGAATGCATCAAAATGTCATTTATACCCTGAAAACACATATATCTATTATGTATCAATTTTAAAAAGATTAATTCAGAAGATTTTATAAGATATTTATATCACTTCTTTCATATATATTCTTCTGAATTGATACTTATAATTCACATAAGTATATGTAAATTTTGAATGCCTTCTCTGTCCTTCTCTCCTTGTCTTCCTGGAGACACTTATTTTCCACGATTTCACTCCAAGAAGATTTTCTGTTGACACTCCCTAACCTTCACTCTGTCTCTTCCCAAGTGCAGTTGACTCGGGGCGGCGGGGGTGGGGGGCCTTCAAAATGTTTAGCCATTTTAGACACTTCTATTTGAGCTGTTTTCCCACTGTGTTTGCAACTATTTGTTCACAAGCACACAGCCCTCTAACAAGCTATGAGCTTCCTACAGCAGAAGCCACCCAGCATAGTGATAGGCACATGCTTGGCACTGAAGAAAAACTTGCTGAACGAAAAAATAAATGACCAATTGACTAACCATATGCTATAGGAGGACTAGTGTATCTAGAGGGGGCAATATCATGTTACAAATGCATCTTGAAATTTGACCATGATGATGTGAATACACAGATTCCACTGTCCAGGAACAATATCAGAAATAGAAGCCAAAGCAAAGTGTTAAGAAAATAGATGACGTGTTACCAATTATTTTTTTCTTTTGAAAAGTCACCTACTAACCTTGCAAGAGGCATCATTGTTGATTTATTGAGCTTTGCCCTCGAAAAGGTAAAGAAAACATCCTTTGCGCACTACTCAAAACAATAGGAAGATGAAAAGCAGTGGGAAATTTGACCTTGCTCTTCAGTTTCCTTTAGAATTTTTAGCAGATCTATTGTGAAGCCTTAGTAGTCTGGCTCTGACCTCTGTGTACCCCAATGTCGGGTCAGCTTGGCACATGGCTTATGGATTAAACCCCTTGGACCATCCTATAGCCTGAGCTTTAACTGGTCTCAAGAACATGCACCCAAACCTGCATATTCTTTTCTTTTGCTTTACAGGGGATGGGGGCTCCTTTTTAAACTGAAGCTTTAAAAGACAGTAGCTAGAATTTATGCTGAAGTGGAGTAACAGGCTTTGGAGCTGAGCAGTGTCCTAATGCAGGTGAAAAGCATGTATTGATTACTTAAAGAAAGTTAAAATAAAAGCAATTTTTCTCCCCATTTCGGCACATTGCAGCTTTTGGCCTATCCACTCATAGCTAAAAAAGCATTCTTTCCTGATAATCAAGCTTCAGCTGTCTGAATTTCAGGCTGAGCCTCTCCTCCTGAGCTCTGCTGAAGAGCTGCTTTAATTAACCATTATACCACAGATGTTATTGATTTTTTTTTTTCAAATCTGGTTGAAACATCATTGTGCTGGATCATGGCCAAAACTAAGGCCTGAATTTGTGTGTGTGCGCTGCTTTTACTCCTTCTGCATACCTTATTAGTCTCCATGTCTGTTAAGTGCAATCCTTAGTATTAACTCAGAAAATATAGAATTGATTTTTAGCCTAGCAGCCGTGATCTAAGGGCTCCTAATTTGAAATCTGAAAACCTCAGTTGCTGAGGAAGTCTTTCTGCTGTTACTCTACACTTCCTCGAAGTAAGCTTTTTATTCTTTAATGTAAAAAAGAAATCTCCCTCAGCCTTTTACTTCTTTTTCTTTCACACACATACATTTGGAAGTTTCAAGGGAACATGAACATCTCTTTGCATTTTGAACGTATTTGTCGTGAAAGGCCCCAGAGCCTTATTCTTCCCTGCCCTACATGTTTGACCTGCAATGTAGCTTGTATAAGATTTTGAAACTGAAGTGTCTTTAACACTTTCCATATTTTGAAGGGAAATTTGGAAGAACTTGAGCAGCATTCACTTTGCACAAATTGCAGGATATCAGAAACAACGGGGCATCTGTATTCCTTTTACAATCCACCTTCCAGTGGGATGATAAACTCAAGGACCAAACAATCACAGTGGGTTCCTAAATTCTGATAAGGTTTCTGTGAGTTTAGTGATACGTTCTTTAAATGTAATTTGAAGCTTTTAAAATATTGTAATGGCAGCTCTTGACCTTTAAAAATCACATGGAGCAAGAGGTGGTGAAAAATGTTTATTTACTCTGCATTAGTGGCTAACCTCCTGTTTCTTCCTAGAACCAGTAGTTCTTTTATACTCGGGAACTCACGCATGTCACCTCCATTCTTCCAACACGAACCAGACAGGCCCACTTGAGCTGGAGAAACAATGGCCTGAGCCAGTCCTATGCCTCAGTGCGAAACAACAATGCAGAACTCTTGACGAATTCTGGCGTCGAGAGTGGAATACTGCAGTTCAACATGTCTGCTGAACAGAAGTTGGAAAAAGAAAAGATCATCTTGTAAACAATTAATTAATGTTTGTCATGAATTATCATTTTTACTTCCTTCTCAAGAGGCTCAAAGGGAATAAAAAAGCATTTTTGCAGGTGGTGGCATTCAAACTAAGGGCAATCAAAGGTTTGAGAGCTGAGGCACAGCACTCTGAGTCTCTAAGGGTGAATGGTGCTAGGATTAGAGCACAGCAGGGGGTTGAGGGCTTCAGGTGTGAAGCTTAATGTTTGTGATCAGCAAAAAAAGTCTTGAATTTATCTAAACTGCTCTTCTGCTAACAGTACTTCTAGCACATAAATGTTCTGAAACTGACAAGTGTTCTCATTGCTCTTCTAATGCAAACATGATCTGCATTTGAAAGATGCATCCCTTTTGCCTAATTTAGAATGTGCATCACAAAGAGCGTTAGATGATGACCCCACAAAGAGATACACACACACACACACACACACACACACACACACACACACACACACACACACACACACACCCATGCATGCAAACTGTCTCTTTCTGGCCTGGATCTTCTCTGAAGCTTGCAGCAAGGATCCTGCAGGATTGTTTTTCTCTAAATTCCTAAATCAGAGGTTGAGAACTAGGGCCTCAATAGCCATCTGACCAGCGGATTCTTCTGATCTTCTACATGAATAATTCCTTTTAATTTAGTTTGGATAATTGTCTAGAATTTATCATGCTGCATTTTTCATTTGCAATCTTCCCTCTGCTTCTTCAGCCTCGACTTCTATCAGTAGCAAGATATTGAAGAGTATCCAATATATGTAAAAATTTTAAACACATACCATCAATATTAAAATTTTCTGAGGAATTATGACTCATGTTTGCAACCCCTAGAACCAATGGCAGGCATTGTTGATAGTAGTTGCTAAAGTCCATATAAATACATCTGATAGTTTAATGAATCCTCTCCATAATCAAGAGCTGAACTCTAATTAAATACTCCTTTTCTTTCTCTATCATCAATAGAGGTCACCTACTGGGAGAGCTCTAAAAGGAAACACTAAGTTAAAGGTTATGAGTTATCACTTCATGAAAATGAGTCATAGGCAAAACTTAGAAGGACCAAGATGAATCTCAGCCTTGAGTTACTTTTTAATCCAACCTTCCCAAATTCTCCCCTATCCTGTAGTACCCATTCATTTTCTTTTCTGCACTCACATTTCCTCTTCCCTTTAGTATTCACTTGACATCATGCAATAAACACAGGTTCTTGGGGCACAAAGCCTGGAGGCCCCGAGGGATCCATGATGACAAAGGAAACGTAGGCACAAACTTGCCTCCTTTTGCCTTGACTCTTTTGAAGCTAGTAAGTTGAGTGGGTCCTCTGAGGTTTATGGTCACCATCCTAGACCATGTCGTGAGGTTTTCCCTTGAATCCAAGCATGTAGTACAAACACGTGGCTTAAACTTAGGAAAAAGCCCCCAGAAGCTAGAGAAGAGTTTGGGTAAAATGGGACAAACTAGAATATTATCAGGTCAGGGACATGAAAGGAGACTTAAAAAATTTAGAAGAGGAAAGGATCTGGGAGGAAACAAGCCGAGCAGAACCCCTGAGATGGAACAGACAGAAAAAAACTCCTTTCATAAATTCCTGGAGGCTCCAGTTTGTTAACATCTAAAAGTGGATAAAAGGACTTACCAGAAAAAATAACTTAGTTTCTTAAAACTACTAAAACTCTTCAAACCTAGACATCTACTTTAGTATTTTCTTTGCTTCCCCATTTTTTGTTAAGATGTTAAAATCCTTTTTTTGTAAAGATGTTAAAAGCCAAATGCCAACTGCTGTAGAATTATGTAGAAAAAAATGCAGTGAAAAGAAAGTAGCAATGGATGTGATGAAACTGAAAAAAGTGGAGTTCGTGACACCCTATACCCAAAGGTACGCTCCAGACTTACAGCAGGTACACTGGTGTTGTTTTTAAGTCCCAGGATTCTGGACCTTGGTTAGGGTGTGTGGCTCTGCCTGGTGGTCTACCCTCTTCCACATTGTTCTCTGAACCTGCCTAGTCTTCCCTTGCTCCCTTGCTGAACAATGCTCTGCATGTGGCATTGTATCCAGGACAGGTCATAGGTTTGGGGGAAAGGAAATTCACCTTTCTTCCCTGCCATGTGCTGCTCTTAATTAATTCTTACTTCTTTGGATGGTTAAGCTAGCACCCACTGGGGCTTGAGGGGAGTGGGCTGAAAATGTTCCAAATGAGTGAAAAATTGAAAGCCTATGTGGCTTTTATTGGTATTGGATCAACTGGTCTAGATTGAACTGGAAACGTTTTACTGTAGGGTGAATTTTACAAAATTATAAACATTTAGCTTTAAAATAAATACATTGATTAATCCAGTCATTACAAATATGTGCAAAGATGGTATCAGCCTGGTACACTCCCCCTACCAGGAAAGACACAGATTGAAACATAGATGGCAATGGTTTTCACATTCTTTTTCTAAATGTAAACAATTAGAATCCCCCAAGTGTTTAGCTGCAAGTTGCATTAACCCAAAGCAATAAGGAAGCGTTTCAAGGAGTAAATCCAAATAGTTTTAAGGAGTATTACTTAGAAATACTTCTTTCTTCTACAGCAGAAAACTGAATTTTGGTGGTGGGAGTGGGGGGAGTCCTCCTATAAATTGCCAATGAACGCCTCCCCCAACCACCCAAGAAAGAGTTGATGATGAAAATTGAAAATTGTGACCACTTGAACGGCTCCACTGGTTGGGTCTGTCTTTTCCAAAGGGACTGCCCTTTCTAGGACTTCTGCCTGCGTGAGAGGTCCCACCCACCCTGCTACTATTCTAAGGAGACCTGTCGAACGCTCCTTATTTTGCTTCCCTCCCACTCCCCCCATTATGCCACCACTGTGTGCTAGTGCTTGAAATTAATCAAGGGCCCCTTCTGGGAAAGGGATTCCTCTTTGCGAGAAACGGAACTGGACACTTCTCTGCCTTCCGCGCCCCCTCGCCTTGCCAGCCCCTGCTCCCCAAAGCTCCCCAGACAAAGCCCAAGGACTCCCGACGCTCGCGGAAGCTGCGAGGAGCCGCAGACCTGCCCTTGCCAGACAGCTGCTGTTTGAACCCAGTTCTGACCGTAAAATCAAAAGTGGGTCCGAGGGAAGCGGTAAACACTGTGCAATGAGCCTTTTGAAGGCAGCTGATGCCTCATTTGGGGTGACATGTTGTGGCTGATGAGTGTGGATGATGTGGGGTTTTCGATAAGTGCCTCATCAGTATCCTCATCATGCTCGTGTTGCTCCGCCGCGGCGTGTGCCCTGACTTGATTGTAATTGCCCGAATCTGCTCCCGCTGCTCAGGCGCGCACAGTAATATGCAATAAAACAGCAAGAAGTGAATGTTAACCATCTGAGTTCTGACACGGCGGCTCTGCAGTTCAAGATCTCCATTAAGCCCGGGGGAAAAAAAAAAAAAAGCCTATAAGAAAGAAGAAATCGGAAAATTCCCAGGGTCTCCTTCTGTGATCCAAGGGAAAGTCCAGAAATTAAGGAGCTGTTTAGGCTTCTTAGGTCTTCACAGGTAGAAACTAACAGGTAGTTTGCTAGTACTAATTTATTTATAATTAATTTTTTGACATCCCAGGTGTCCCTGCCCTTGCTGCTTAACTCTAATAGCAGGCACCGCTGCCGCCCTTGCCCAGGTGTGGCGGGTGGGCCCGGTCGTCAGGGGAGGCAGAGACCCTCCTCGCCCTAGTCTGTCAGTGTCCTGCGTCTGCCTTCGGTTGTTTCAGGTGCTAAATGTGTAAGATCCAGCTTTTCAGCGAACTCCAAGAGGCAGACACCTGAAGCATGGTTTCATCAAATCACTTACTGCTTACTGGCTTGGTTTTCAACTTCGCTAAAGTGAAAACCAAGCAGAGTGACCTAAATGGTCTCTTCCGTTCTTTCCACTATGTCCACGCACCTACGGAGGCCTCCTTCCATACTCTAAAATTCAACCTACTGGTGTCAGGGACATCGGCAGAACCAACTCCTGAAAAGTGAGCTGGTCCCCACGACTGTGCATTTAGTCTTTAACTGTAGGAAGAGAAAGCCTGTCTGGGAAAGGAGAACTGAGGTGTGTGGGGAGCGATCTCTTTCCCTTCTTAGCTGAAATATTTTAAATGAGCGAGGAGGGAGGGGAGTGAGTGCAGTTTATTAAAAAAAAATTAGGTAATTTTCTTAAGTAAAGTTAGACTTTGTACAGTCTGGATTTCAGTATAGATCTGATGATAAATGTGCACACTTGAAAATCTAATTTCCATATTATAAACCTACTTTTCTTAGCCTTATCCTCTCCCCTTTTTTTCCCTGGAATGAATCATAATTGCTTATCCTTTTGTAGGTAACAGCTACTATCCAACTCATTGTCTACTTAGGAGCATTTCTTAAAGCATCTCAAAGAAAATACCATATTCTTCGCGGTTTCCTGTTAATTGAGTTCTTTGGGAGCCAGTGGCCGTGGTAACTTTAGAAGAGATTTTAATTACATATGGAAACCTTTACCATTGTTTTTCATTTTGAAGGGAGTAGGATTTGCTCAAAAGTGTTCTTTTTTTCTTTTCCCATTTCTGGTAGCAATGTCTTTTCAGAACTTTACAAATGCTGTTTGTTTGGACTCTGGGTTTCCTTCTTGGAAAAAAAAAAAAAAGCCTCACATCTAAAACTAATCAATTCAGCCTGCACTCCCACTTGGAAGTCCCTATACAGATGGAGTCTCATTAACTGTTTGAATATCTGTATCAGTAACTGTTCAAGAGAAATAATTCCAGCCCACATGGATAATTAATGAAACCATTCATACAAAAAGACATCTTTTTTTTTTTTTTTTTTTTGAGTTGGAGTCTTACTCTATTGCCCAGGCCAGAGTGCAGTGGTGCGATCTCGGCTCACTGCAACCTCTGCCTCCCTGGTTCAAGTGATTCTTCTTCCTCAGCCTCTCGAGTAGCTAGGATTACAGGTGTGAACCACCATGCCTGGCTAATTTTTGTATTTTTAGTAGAGGCGGGGTTTCACCATGTTGGCCAGGCTGGTTTCAAACTCCTATCCTCAAAGATCCTCCCACCTTGGCCTCCCAAAGTGCTGGGATTGCAGGTGCTAGCCACTGCACCCAGCCAAGACCATCTCTTATAGTAACTACCTGGCCTTGCTTAGCAAACAGGTCAGGTTAAACTTCCTCCTGCTTGGGCTAGCCCTTCCTAAAATCAGCCAGAAAGCTCCTCTTCATATGTAACAAGTATATATGTAACAAGACTATATGTAACAGCCTCCCTACAACTGCTGCAGGCCACCAGGTCTTGCCTAAATTTCTGGTAGGTTCAACCTGAATCTTGGGTGGACACAAGACAAGAATGAAACTACCCTGTGGCTGGTACCCTCAATAATGCCTTTCTCTTCACCCCAAGGACATGCCTGTCTTTGATAATGATGTTCTTATCCATCATGTGTTATAAGATAAGATTTAATCCTGAGTGTTGGGATCAAATTCCCATGTGGGGTTATCCCATTCCAGCTTTAAAAATTGCTCCCTGAAAATTCAGGTAGAGAAAGTCTTTCCATTTACTTCCTGCCTTAAGCAGGTGTGCAGTGTTAGCAGCACTATGTTTTCACACAGCTGTTGCTTTTTATCCACGAAGTGGCTGCATTTCAGAGGTCGTTGCTTCCAGAATAGAGTTCTGGCCTTCTAATTAACTTGGCATTCTATTGCACGTTTATAGAAGATGTTCGCTAACAGGTGACATACAAATGAAGGATTTTTAATCTCTTAAAGACAGACACATTAAATGAACACAATTTTAAAATCGAGTTTTTAAAAAGCTAAAACAATAATAATTGTATCAGAAAAGCAAAAATGGATAAACAATTTCAGTGAAAGTGTGAGGACCCTAAATCAGTGTGCTATAATTGTGCACTCTGGGAGGAAAGATGCTAAACCAGGAAATATTATCAAATGCAGCCAGGACCCTAGCAAGTTTCTTCGCAGAAACTGATGTTTGTGTCTTCTTTTTAAAATCAAGTGTTGAAGTTTAAAGAATGTATGAAGAAGTAATTATAGGTAATTTAAAATATCTATTGGTACACAGAAGGTTTTAAGATTCTGTCCTCAACTAATGTCAATCTATTTTAGATGCTAGCCCAGAGAATTAGTAAATTGAATAGAAAGGTAGGCAGAACTTTCTAGATACAGAATATATACTTTTAAATTTATATTCATTTAGGTATTGGTATATGCACATGCATACAGTGTATATTCACATAAATTTGAAATAAAGATTTGCAAAAGTTTTCCCCCAAAATAGTTTTCTATTGTAATTAAGAAAAAAATATAAAAGGAAGAAAATTAATTCTGAAATATCAAGTGCTTTTGTTAAATGGCAAGTTTAATCTGTAAGAATGCATGTCAGCTTTTATTTATTTTTATTTTTTATTTTTTGCATAAGTCAGCTTTTAGATAGTGGGTCTTAGCAAACCTGATTGGATTCAGGCTCATAAGTTCTGACTGTGAATTCTGCACAAGTTGAAGGATGTGCAAAAACTGCAACATCAACAGTTCATTCAAAAAGATTCCAGAAAAAAACCAACTCCAAACCAAAAAGCAACCCTGTGGTAACACTTCAGCATTAAAAGCTGGGGTTGCCATGGGCACCAGGGAGACACTCAGTATAAGGACTGCTGCCTGAGGTTACTTGTGGGGGATGGGCATGCCTAGGATACACAATATGTGTTCATTCTATGGGGCTCCAACAGATGCCCCACGCTATTGTATTATTGCTGGTCAGTGGAAGACAATGAGTCTATAGGCTTGTGATCCTGTGAAGTGAGAAATAACCAATGCCTTAGAATTTAGAGAGAGAGAAACTCAAGTTCCTTGGCCAGGTGATATGAGCAGGGTTGGAGTCAGTTAGTGAGCCCATGTAGCTGCCCACGTCCTAGTCCTTTTTCTGTATGCTGTACCTTAGGGAAGTTATTGGCCACACATACTTTGAGGATGCAGCTTAGCTTGGGTCAAAATTAGCCACAAGATGCAAATACAAACCAAAATTTGGTAAGCTCAAAACCAGCAACAGAGTCAGGGAAGGACTCCTTCCAGAGTCAAATCTCAAATTTGGGTTTATTCAGGTAAAGCTTTAGGGTTGCTTTCATATTCCCAAATAAATCACCCTCCCGATGGAGGTCCAACCTTCCCAGCAACCTGAACAGACTTTTGGGCCAGAAATAATATGTGTCCTCGGTCTAGAAACACAACCCTGCCGTTAATAAAAACAATCCAACTTATGACTTCTTGTATTCCTTTCCATGAACATTAAAGGTTCTATTCCATAATCATTAAAGAAGAAGCTTTAATGATTAACGGTAAATTCAGAGTATAAGTCTGCTAGTCTATTAGTGTCCCAAGGAGAGTGTCTTAAAGACAATGAAAATGGTGTTTCTTACTGGTACAGCAGAGAAAATGAGCAAATACCCAAGTGTTGAAGAATAAGACATTCCCATCTTTCCTAAGCTTGGGACAAAAAGAGACTGACCAAAGCTCTGATTTTTATTTCTTTCCTTTAGCCAATAGGAGAATTTTAAAGAAAAAGAAATCCATGGAATAAACTCGAAGTGTGCCTCAAGACAGACAAAGAGAATGCAAAATTAAATTCTTGATGTGAAAGGGAAGGCACAATGAAGCCTTTGGGGTGAGTTGCCTTTGGAGAAAATTTCAATTTCACTG